CTTAGCATCACTCACGACCGCGGGAGAGTTACGTCCCTGCGACGCTGTCTCCTGATGTGTGTGTGTGCGCGCGCGCGTGTGTTGGTTTTGGTTTCTTTAGCGCCTGCCACGCCCCTCGTTCCCGCCCATTTAGCCGCGCTTATTTCCCAGCCTGACACCCGATGGTCGTCATAACGCTGCTTAGGGCCGAGACTTATCCCCTCGACAAGCCGAGGCGACGCGTCGGGACGGGAGGGGGCGAAGCCGGGCGAAGCGTGGGGCCAGTCTCCTCGCACACGCACAGCAAAGGGCGTTCCGGAGGAGGTTTCTTTTACTTTCACTTAACTATATTATTGGTTTGGGAAAGATCGCTTTTCCATGGTTTTCAAAAATCATGTGGAAACTTCTTTGTCTATTCATCTTTTGACTAGAACATAAGTCCCCACCCTTTTCCCCCAGCCTCGACTTCCTCCCCCTCCCTCTCCACCGAGTGGTGACAGCCAATAAATCCCCCCATCCGCGGCGCACCGCCGCACCGCCCTGCTATGGCAGCGGGCCATGTAATGTGCCAGCTACTTTTGCAACTTCCTCTGTCGAGTCACCGATTATTGGCTAATTCTTGGGACTGTGTGGCCCGCGTCTCGTCCCTTGTCGTCCCCCTTTCACTGTTAATTTCGCTGAGGGTGTATACGCCGTGCAACCCCTCAAAACCAGGTACTTGAAATCTAGTTCGTATTCTCGACCCAAGTTTATTCGAGTGCACGCATTTTTTTTTGAAGAAAATGCATCATTTTATTTCAAGTACCTGATTTTTGGGGCGTGAAAAATTGTTTCCGGTATTGATGGATCTTGCCCTGGCACCCTGTGGACCCCGTTTTCTTTGCGACGCCCTCCTGCTTGTCCGTCCTGGGCCTGGGCATTCCCTATACAACGCCCTTCCCCCTCCATTCCTCGGCCAGCCCTACCGACCGCCGGCCGCAAAGCGCGCGCGAAGACTGCGTCTCCAATTTCAACGACACGACAACAGAATCCGGAGACGTCGGAGGTAAAATTAGTCCCCCGGGCCTGGGCCCCCGGGGGCAGGAATCTGTCGGGCGTGTCCCCTCTGTCACCCGTACGTCCGCGCCCCGGCGGCCCGCAACCCGGCGCAGCGATCAATCAGGGAACAATTACCATCAATTATCACAAAGCACAAAAAAACGTGTTTTTGTTTGTTTGTTTTGTTTTCTCCTGCCAGGATGCTTTTTTTAAAAAAAGAAAAATATTGTATACATTAGCGTTTTTTGGTTGTTTTTTTTTTGTCTTTTGTTTTTTTTGTTGTTGGAAAATTGCTGTCTTGATTCAATATGATTTTTGAATCAGCAGCCTGCAGCCCAGCCACATACTGTATTCAGACGGATTAAAGTTGACGCCACCGTTCGTTTTTGGTCCCGTTCTGTACTGCCTCCCTCGGCACGGGGCGCGGGCAGAGAGGGGGCTGGTTATTGTGACTTTGCTCGCTCGTTCGCCGCTCGGAAGATTCATTTCGGCCGTAACCGATACTGCTAGCCGCGGTGACGGGGCGAGGCGGGGCGGGAGGGCCCCAAGAGCGGGGCACGTGGCGCGGCACGAGTGTTGACTTTGTCACGCTGACCTACCGCCAACGCCCGCCCCCTCCCTCCCTCCCTCCCTCCCTCAGTATGCCCACCTATCACTCCGCTGCTGATGCTAGCTCGCCCGTGGCAGCGCCGGTGGATAGGCTGTTCTGTTACACAGGCATGTGAGCCGGTTGCCCACCCGTCGGGCTGAGGCCGCCCGCTGCCCATCCGCTGCCACCAGCCACGGCCGCTTGCCGCCCGCCTCCGGCGGGTAGGCTGTTCTGTTACACAGGCGTGCCGGCGGGTTGCCGACCCTTCGGGCTGACGCCGCCCGCTGACCATCCGCTGCGTGGGACATCCTTGCCAGTGGGTTGCTACCCAACAGACTAAAACCGTCATTTACAGCGAGAGTGGTCTGGTGGGTGGGCCGTCTCGTTACATAGTCTTGCCCGCGGGTTGCCTACTGGCTCGGCGGAAGCCACGAGCTGATGGGGCAACATCTACCGTGAGTTGAAGTTGCCGACGTACTATCGAATGCAAGACTTTCGCACGATTTCTTGCAGTCGGTGAAGGACGGAAGCAAAAGCATACTGCATAAGAGGCGCGTGGAGCGGGGGAGCCGTGCCGGGGGCGGCGCGGGGGCGGCGCGGGGGTGGTCGTGGAGGTGGGGGCGGACGGGCCCACATGGGCGCAACTATAGTTCAGCCTGGGATGACGAACGGCGTGTGTTCCGAAACACGTCGCCGCACGTCACACACAGCTCTCATAAAATAATTCTCGACCTGGGTCGGGCGACCCGCGGCCCCGTGGGGCGAGTGTCTAGTGGCGGGGCAGGAGGGGGAGGGGGGACTGACACGCACACAAGAGACGACGGGACTCTGCTCAATCAACGTCCGCACCTCCGCGCTCACACTGTGAATGGATTACGAACAACTGGTTCGTAATGCAAACCTAAACCTACGTAGCTTACGAAGGATTTTGAATAAGCGTTGAATTCATTCTTCGTAAGCTTACGAACAAATAGTTCGTAATGCAAACCGAGTGTTCGTAAGAACCTTCCCAGCCTTACAAACAATTGCTTTACAAGACAAATAATGAAAATTGTTCGTAATCTTGCGAAGCATTTGGTTCGTAAGCATTTTACAGTGCACCCTCTTACGGCAGCGGGAGACGACAACCGGACCACAGGTACTAGCGTCGCGGACACCGTCACAAGCTAAATTTGTGAAAATTGCAAATTAAAATCAACATCCGTTTTCAAGTCGAAAAATTTAACTGTATAATTTTTAATTTGTTTGAGCATTAATCGTTTCAGAGGACCATAAAGCGAATACGAAACAGACAGTCGCGTGGTGCCGGTCCCAGTTCACATCCACTGCCTCTCTCGAACCCCCGCCGCCGCCCCGACACCGATCGGTCATGAGCCCGTCCACGCCGCAGTTTCGACTGCACTTCTAGTTTCGACGTCTAGTTTCGACAGCACGCTAGCGCAGTGCCAGGGCACTGTGATCTTTATGGCGACACGTGTGACCAAAATTCGGTGACACATTTATTTTGGCGACTTCCCTTTTTTGTCGCCAAACTTTGGCGACATCCGAGATGTCACCATAATTATGGAAACAGACATGTTGCCATAACAGTTCCCATTGAGAGCATAAAATTTGTCACCCTCGGTGTCACTTAATTTGGTGACGTTTTCGTCGCCTTGGCGGCAACACATGTGTCACCAAATAAGGTGACACCAAGGGTGACAAAGTTTATGTTCTAAATTGGACCTATCATGGCGACATATCTGTTTCCATAATTATGGTCACATCTCGGATGTCGCCAAAGTTTGGCGACAAAAAAGGGAAGTCGCCAAAAGGGGAATGTCGCCAACTATGGTCACACATGTGTTGCCATAGCGTTTACAGTGGGTCCTCCTGGACGTTAGTGGTCTTGCCCCCGCGCATCCCAGCGCGCTTCAGCGCCTCCCGCGTGGTTTATGGCCGTCAAATAACTCTCGCGCTCGTCAGACAGGGGGAGGCTTGCCCGTCCCGCCCCGCCTGAGCACCTCCGCGGGTCGGAAGCGTGTGCGCTTTTCAAAAGCAAAGTGCAAGTAGACGACAGTGAAGTGTTGCGCGGCGGGCCGCGCGAGGTGAGGCTCGGGGCCAGGCCCGCTAAACATAGGCGCTTCACGCTGCCATTGCATTCGATACTCGGCCGTTCCCACGGGAGCATAGGCTCCACCCGACGTACAAGATCGAGTACATGATTGCGCCCCCAACGCGCCCGCAGCTACAATTTATGTGCAAAGCGCAACCACTATACCAACTGTACTCTGCATAGTGCACGGTGAAAACGACGGACGGACGGAAAAATCAAGACGTCTAATGGAGCAATAAATGCACGAGGACGTGTTGATTTTTCCAAAACTGCTTGAAAAACAGAGCGTCGTTTTACCGTGTATGGTTTGCGTGCAGGTCGAGATCTCGTCATCCCAACAGCAGGGAAGGCTAAATGTTGTATTCGGCGCCGCCCCCGTCGCAAATTCCCTCGCCAATTGGAAAACCAGCTCGCTCTCAGATCGGCGCCACGGGCGAGGCCACGGGCCTTACCTTTGTGCGAGGACGTGGACACCTCCCCGCAGTGCACGTCCGCCTCGGTGTAGCGCCGCTGCTGCCGACTGCCGTGGTGCTGCTTGCGCTCACGGCGAGACGCACACTCCGGCCGCACGGCGACGTCCTCGGCGTCCTCCCCGTCCTCGTCGTCCTCCTCTGCCGCGACGACGTCGTCGTCGTCGTCAGCCTCGTCGTAGCTCGAGCAGGTGTCCACCTCGGTGTCCTCCTCCAGTAACCCGCTGTGGAAAACGTAACCGCTGTTTTATGCCTGACATTCATTCGCGATGAGGATCGCGGGCACATTGAGTTCGATGGATATCGTGAGCACCGGTACACTCAGAAAACCTTATCTTTCTGGAAACAAAATCATACCTTTGCCATAACCACTTTGTCAATTCAAATGTGTACATGGTACACATTTGAATTGACAGAGCAAATGAAAGTGATCGTCGCAGCAAGGGAAATTTTTCTTCAGAGTAACAAAAAAAAAAAAAAAACTTTTGTTTTTTAAATACAGTTTTTTCGTCACCGAAATGAAAAATAAGAATTTTGTTTCTCTGTTACACAGGCGTGCCGGCGGGTTGCCGACCCTTCGGGCTGACGCCGCCCGCTGACCATCCGCTGCGTGGGACATCCTTGCCAGTGGGTTGCTACCCAACAGACTAAAACCGTCATTTACAGCGAGAGTGGTCTGGTGGGTG